GATAATTAATGCCATGCGACTAGTCTAGTGACAGGTGCTCAGTAAATTCTCAGTAAATAGTTCTTATTAATATAATGGAAAGGAACCACATAGAATAGAGGAAAGATCATTGTATTATATAAATTTGAAAGAAAAAGAAACTAAAACATACCTTTAATTTTTACTGTACAGCTAAAATCAGATTATTAATTGAATTAAACTCTCCAAAAAATTTGTCAGCCTCATTTATATCTCCAGGCTTACATATGAAATACACTCCATCTTTATATGTACTGAATCTTGAAAAATTTGTCCAAGTAAACCTTCCTGAACTCCACCATTTGAGATTACAAGCCAGCTTCCCAACTGTGGCGTGCCTCAAATGACCAAGTTCCTTTTCCATATATTTTTCTGCTAATAACATGAAAGTGAATCCAACTGAAATAAAAACACCATCATTAACTCATATAAACATTATCTGTTGGGCAATGTCTACTCTGACTTCTATTAAAGGTAGAATTTCTCAATTTCCTTGTTTTCTATTCATTCCTTTGTTTTCCATTCATTTCACACACTTGGTCATTGGTCTGAGATATGAAACATCAAATATGCCCAGAAAAGAGATGAATAAGAAGAGGGATATATACCCTGATAGGGCCACCCATATAACTGTCCCCGAAGACTTGAGTCTGCAGTATTACTTATAACCAACTTCTACCATCTTCACAGAGTCTCATAAACTCAGCAGGGGAACTGGAAGAGCTCCTTAGAAGAATGCTTCAAAATGTGATACATCTTTGGCTATACGGCTATTGGGGTGGCCAAGTCAGTGAACTATAGAACAGATCTGACCACCAAGCCATTGTTCTTATTTCAGGTGACTTGGTCAATATTGCTTTTTCTCTCTTTTATACTCTTAATGTCTGTCTAAGAATTACATGTCAGATAGGGTGAAGACTAAGCCAGAGTTAATTTTCTGCACCCATGTAAAGAAGCAGAGCCTCTCCTTTAAATTTTCTAATGTTTTGCTTTCCAATTGCAAGTAATTTGTGTTTTGGTTTGTAAGGTCAGCCAGAGAGAGAGAGAGAGAAAGCTATTGTTTTTAGATCAAAAGTATATAGAAGAATAAGGATATATTTCGAAGAGTATTTTAAAGCTGTCAAGTTAAGGATAAAATAAGTGTTGATTCTTCTTGCAATATCTTAAGTAATTCCAACTGCCATTCCCTTTGATATGAGGACATGGTTGGACAAGACTTGAATCGTATAGTGTGAAATATGTACAAAGCATTGCTTTTTTGTGTTTAAAGCAATTGTATAATTCAAACTAACCATGATACAAAAATGTCTCCCTTTATTTTGGAATATGGATTGCAAATAATTGTTTATGTTGATGGTTTTCCACTGCCTGGAATTTTCAGGTCATTAGAGGCAGAGAAAATATTTACTTCAAGTTTGGGGCATGTAGTGAGTTCTCAGAGAACAGTTGTCATTGATTAGCTCTATAACAAAAGGAAATATAAATGTCCAGAATAACATACAAGACTTGGAAATACATTTTGCCCCAGTGCCAGAATCATATTAGTCACCAAACTTTTGTTTGGTTTTTGAGAAGAGCTGCATACATCTCATACCCTAGCACAGCAAAGCATTAGTGGTGATATAAATGGTAATTGTTATTATTTTTAGGATAAAAGCAATACAAAAAGAACTTTAAATCATTTTCTCTAATCTTCAGAAATTATTTTCATTTTATTGCTCCTACATAAAATTAAATAATTTGCAAACTCATGTAACAATACTGTACAATAGTTAAGCATACAGACTATAGCATCATACAGTTATGTTTTTAAGATCCAACTCTTCCAATTTCTACTATTTCTTTTCCTTCTAAGTTTTAATTTCCTGACTACAAAATGAGAATTATAATTTTATCTTTCTAATAAACTGAAGTAAATATTAAGTCAGATCTCAATAGAAATAATTTAGCAAAGTGCTTGAGACATACTGTACAGACACACAGACACACAGACACACACACACACACACACACACACTCCAAGGCCTTTGCTTCCAGTCATTCTGGTTCTCAAAATGTGTGCTTCCCCTAAGCCAATGTGCTCTATCTTCATCTCTCTGCTTTTGCTCACCTATCTGCTTTTCACATTCAAGTAACATTTCTTTTCTGGATCACAATATAAGCACAGATGATTATGTTTTTAATTACACTTCAAGTCAATAGATGATTTCTGTAGAAATCATCCACACTTATCAAAAGTAAACTATGTCCCATATAATACAGAATATAATTTCTCTCAACTTATATATTTTGTATTATAAAATGCAGTAGATGCCTACATGTATGTGCCCACTAATACGCTATGTGGTTTTCAAGGTCAAGGGCTAAGTCTTGTATCATTTTACTCTGTATCTCTCAGTACCCAACTTGGGCCCTGAGCCACAGAACATTCTAAACAGGTATTAGAATTTGAGATGAATAGAGGCAGCTATGTTTGGAGGAAAGAGCTGAGCTCCCAGTGCTCCACGCTTGTGGATATTCCAAGAACAAGTGGGCAGGCACTGAACAAAGGAAAATCAAGAGTCTGAGAATTGTGTCACCATAGCTGCATTTATCTGGGTTCCCTCCCTTGGACCAAACTACAATATTAAAGGTCAAATGTAGAAGGAAATGCATAAGCACATTGTCTTCCTCTCCCAAATATTTCCCAAGTTTACCTTAAAGCATGGATGCCAGATGCTGCCAATTAAAGGGTAGCATGGCCTGAAGAATTTTCAGGGCTCTTCAGAAAATGGTGCCCCTGAGCCGTGTTTCTCCGACTTTATCCGCCATTGTTACAACTAACAACGTGAAAATGTATATTCTGGTTCAGTTGTTCTGTGTATGAGTACTTACTGTTAGGTTCTACTCTGAGTGAAAAGAAAGTTCATGCAAATTATAGTCAGGGTAACAGAACAAAGATAGATAGATAGATAGATAGATAGATAGATAGATAGATAGATAGATGAAGGAATGTACTAGAAGAATTGGCACACACAATTATGGAGACTGAGAAGATTCACAAAATCTTTCCTGCAAGATGTAGAATCCAGGAAGTTGACAGCATGGCTTAATCCAAGTTTATAAGGCTCAGAGCCAGAATACCCAGTGGTGTGATTCTCAGAATGGTGCCAAAGGCTAGGGGAGTTTCAGGGTCACTTCTCAAATTCCAAGGCCCAAAGACCAAAAATCTTGGACTTCTGAATTCTAAGTGCAAGAAAGAATGTGCATCCCATTTCTAGAACACAGAGAATGAATTTGCATCTTCTTTGTTCTATGTGGGCCCTCAACAAGTTGGGTGAAGAAAGATCTTCCTAATGTAGTCTACTGGTTCAAATGCCAAACTCTTCTGGAAATATCTGCACAACAAAGAATTCATTACCTGCTCTTTGAATATTTCTGAAAAAACTAATCATTTGAACAATGTTTAAAAACCATTATATATAAAATTTCATTTTGAACCAAAAAACTTTATATGTGTGTGTATATCCTATCTGCTCCAAAGATAGATAGATAGATACATAGATAGATAGATAGATAGATAGACAGGCATTTTGTTCTAAATAAGTATTTCTCAAGGTTTGCTATATATTAGAAATTCCTTAGAAATATCAATACCAGATCTAGTATCTTTTCTAATTCCCACTTATCAATTAATCAGAATGGAGAGGTCTTCTTCCAAGTGATTGTAATGTAAAGCCTATGTGCAAACCACTCTCCGATCGCTTTTCCAGAGTCACTTCAGGTCTGGCCCAAGTTCTGGTATAATCCTTAGAGTTTATTACTAGTCTATGACAAGGTAAGTGCTGAAACTGAGAATGAGTCTTAACCCATTCAAGTTTCTATATAATAAAATACCATATGCTAAGTATGACTGAGTATGCACGACCACTATAAATTAATCTCTCACAATCCTGGAGGCTAGGAAGTGAGAGCCTATTTCCTGGCTCTTAGAAGGTGCCTTCTTGATGTGTCCTCACCTGATGAAAGGGGTAGCGCTGTTCTCTGGGGTCTCTTTTATAAGGGCACTAAGCCCATTCAGGAAGGCTTCATTCTTACAAGCTAATTATCTCCTGGAGGCTCCATATCCCAATACCATTACATCAATGATTAGGTATTAAATATTTAAATTTAGTGAGAAAGATTCAGACCATAGCAAAGTATCTAGAGACTTCTATGTAATATGAAAGTTCAATTTGTGTTTATTAAATCCAACAATAAAAATAGGTGGACTAGTGGAAAAAGAATAAAATCACAAAGGATTATTTTGAATAACTAGACATCTATCTTCACTTAAAGCTGGAACATGAAGGTCAGGGATTGCTCGGGGAGAGCACTCCAACATCTGGGTACCAGAGGGTTAATGAGCAAGAGTAGGGTAGGTGGGGTTAAAAACCAGTTACTCATGCCCTCCAACTGAGATAGCTTGCTTACTGTTTAATTGCCCTTAAAACACACACTCTCATATGACACGGAAGGTGAGGGCTGAATGAAGTTTTCTGGGTAATGGCTAGAAATGTTTTCCCTATGAGACATGGTGTTGAGTTACAGCATACAGACGTGAACTGGGAGGAGAGAGACTGCGGCCCCAACCCGGCCCCACCTTTTCTTGGGCTCCTAGGAAGGTGACATGGGCTCCCAGAGACAAGGCCAGTGACGCGGTGAGCTGTCCCGTGTGCTGCTCCCGGTGTGACTTAGGTCTGGTGTTTACCAGCATCTAGCGAGGGCCGGGCAAGCAGGCACAGATGCTCTGCTGTGCAGTGCCACGCAGGCAGCGACTGACAGGCGGCAGGAGCTGAGCTTCCCCCTTGGACTGACTGCTACTTCCCCGCTGTGTTCAGGGGAGGGGTGATTTCTGGCAACTCTGCTGCTGCTGTTGCTGCTGCTGCTGCTACTTCAGCTCTGTCTCCATCCAGGTAAGCGGGCTCAAAGAGAGGGCAGGCTGCAAGGGAAGCCTTTGTACCATGAACAAGATCCGAAAATTTTTCCGAGGAAGTGGGCGAGTCTTGGCCTTTATATTTGTGGCTTCTGTCGTCTGGCTGCTCTTTGACATGGCAGCTCTCCGCCTCTCATTCAGTGAGATCAACACTCAGGTCCTCAAGGAAGACATCGTGCGGAGGGAGCAGAGAAGATTCAGAGTTCAGGCAGATGAAGTGAAAATGCTTTCCAGCAGCGTCAAAGAGATGAGGCTTTCCCCAAGGGGACATAGGAAGAGGGTGTGGGGTAAAGAGAACTTTAGCAGAATTGAGAAGGGTGTGCTTGGGACAGGAGATGATTTGGATCAAGCCCAGAGGGAAAGAAAAATGCAGAACACTCCGGTAAGGGACAAAGTCTTGCCTTTGTGGCATCCTACACATCTGCAGACTCCCGTTGTGACTTTGACCAAGCAGAAGACAGGGGTGAAAGACAGCAAGCTGAAAGCCTTCTCTCTCCAGATGACACCAAAGCAAACGACAGTGCAGGGGGCTCAGAAAAGCCCATTCGTAGCACCAAGAAGAGCTGCATTGGTCAAAAAATCAGGACACATAGGACTGGTAGGTATAAAGCAAGAGGCCCTGAAGACTTATAATCTCAGCAGTGCTACCTTCAAACAAGTAGCTGAGAAGGACTTCAGTGTGACCACCAGATCTGACAAAGAAAAGCAGCAGTCACAGGCAGTAGCAACTAAGAGGACACACCCTGCCAGCCCACCAGTGCCAAACTCGGGGGAAGCCATAGCCTTAAATAAAACTGAGACTCAGAGCAAAGAACTACATGCAAACAAACACAATGTCCGTAAGGGTGTTCCTTTTGTCAAGTTCACTGCTGACTCAAATGGCTTAAGGAAGCTGTCTACGAACAAGACACAGTTGAAAGGTTTGCTAAAGGATGATGGAGCCAAAGCAACTCTGAAGAAGAAACTCAATTTCTCTGAAAGCCATGTTGTGATTATAACCAAAGAGGAGAAGCTAAAGATAGACACCAAAGAGATTCCCGATTCTAAAATCAAAACTGTATTTCCTGAAAAATTGGATAAAAGCCATGAAAAACAAATTTCCAGGATTAGAAGTAAAGCATCTCTCCCTTCACCCACTTTACAGAAAATAACAGTATCTCAAACCAGACATAAACTAGATGAGGGGCTTAGGGCAGCAAGAATAAATTTAACTGCCGAGGCCCAGCCTGTAGGACACAAACAAAGTCATACAGAAGTCCTTTTACCTGAAGACCATGGAATGCACCAGGTGTTAAGAATAGATGTGACACATTCTCCAAGGGACCCCAAAGCTCCCGGTCAGTTTGGACATCCTGTAATTGTTCCCCCTGGAAAGGAGAAGGAGGCAAAAAGAAGATGGAAAGAAGGAAACTTCAACGTCTACCTTAGCGATCTGATCCCAGTGGATAGAGCCATTGAAGACACCAGGCCTGCTGGGTAAGACCCATTTCTCTTCTCTTCCCTCAGTCTCAACTATTTGGCTTTTATAGAGAGAAAATTTATTTTGAAGTAATTTTGTGTGAATTCTGGTAACCTAAAAAAATTAAAGTGATAATAATCATTAGGTCCTATCCAAATATTCAACTAACCACAGAAAGAAAAAAAAAATCCCACTTCAACATATGCACTGAATTCTCTCTCTATGCTTATCTCTTTAGTCCTATTTCTATAGTTCCTTTTTGTATCTTTACTCCCTACTAGCTCAGGTTCTATTTCCTTCCCTTTGTAGCAGAATGCTTGCCTAGCATGTACAAGCCCTGTGTTCAATTCCTCCGCTGCCAAAGAAAAAGTCACTCACTTGTATTTGTAGTTAGCCATTTACAATGAGCCTGTACATCCATAGATGAACCCCGCAAGACCCTGGAAAATGAGGTGGCAGAAATTATGCCTCATACAAGCCCACAACAGTGCTCCGAAGTTATGTTACGTTACCAAAGTAGTATCATGCTAAAGCTGCCCAGTGAGCCTCCCCAAACAATCCTTTAAGCAATTAAATTACTAAAATTCCATCATCAGAAGGTCAACAAATCACAGATACTTGACCTGACTTAAATACACTTTGATTTCTAGCTCTTTTAGCCCACTCCTAAGTGAAGGTACATTGTAACCACATGCTCAGTGCTCATTAATTGATAATTCCTCTCCAAGTGTACTTTGACTTTCACTTCCCTGAGCCAAACAATGATTGCCTGGAAGTTGGGAGTAAGGGATGTCAAGACATAGACTTAGTACCTGCAGTGTATAAACAGTGTGGTTTCTATAAAAACAAACAAAACAAAACAAAACAAAAACTCCTCTTATAGTCAGGGTTACATTTTAGCCAGTGTTACTAGGAGAAGACACAGATTGATGAACTGTATTCATTAGCAAAAGGAGCTTCCTCATTATAATACCAGCTCTACGAAGCCATTTTCAATCTCTTAGGCATTGGCAAATAGCTATTGGCCCACGGGCTGCTTATTTAGACAAAGCACTGTGCCTTTCATGTTCCTCACCTTCATGATACACACAGCCTTGAGGAGGACACAAAATATTCACAGATGTGGAAACTGGGGCTCTGTGTCTGTGAAATACTAATTGAAGAGAAATGCTTAAAGTCTGTGCTCAAAATTATGCTGTGCTCTCTCCTTCCTATTGCAAATTATCCCTCAAGAATGATCTTAGAAATTGTATAGGTCCAGTGCTAGTCTGAAATCTTACATATCACAGGATTACATATACCCTTTTAAATAGAAAATGCAAAGGAATAGAGTAGTCTTTTAAGCAGTTTTGTTTTAAAATGCCAATAGCCAGAAAGACTGCTGTGGGGTCTGGGAAGGAATCACACCCAGCACAGAAGCAGTAGCTCCAGCTCCAAACTGGAGAAAGGGCCAGTGTGTGAGGCCCAAAGCAAGTAATAGTGATGTTAGCATCCTTACGATTTGTGGACAGCTTAATGGCCCCTGGTGATCGTTAGTTTTTATAATTTGGTCTGCAGCAATGAAGCCTGGCATCCCAGCAAAGATACCGTCAGGCTCTGTCCTCTGAAAGAATTTGTCCAAGTCAACAGAAGCAACATGTGTGCTTTGGTGGTGAGTCAGAGAGCACTCAGCCAGGACCTCTCCCTCTTATCACACAATCCACCTTGGCTAAACAGAGGCAGCCGCTTTGCTCCACCACCAGGATGAAGGGGTCAGGTTCACTGCAGAGGAGCCTAAACTCCGGCTCCCCAAGTGTGAGTAGCCCTCTTGTGCCATTTTTCCTTGAAGAAGGGTAAAAGATTATTTTCTTTTACCCAAACATTCTAATGACAAATATGTTTAAATTATTTATTCATATAGCTAAAGGTGAGAAGAAAATACAAACTGAAAACATTTTGTTCATCTGGAAAGATTTGGAGTGAAGTTTGTTTTTCTCTGATGTTATTTATTTGAAGTCTTACCCAAAAAGTACTTAAGATGCCTTAAAAAACACATACAATAAGATTTTTAAAGAAAACAGATTTTAAAAGTCAGCGTAAAGAGAAAGCTGTAATGAAATATGATAAGAAAGTGTGTGTGTGTGTGTGTGTGTGTGTGTGTGTGTGTGTGTGTGTGTGTAAGAGAAAGATCAATCAAGGTATAGATCTACAAAAACACAGGAGGGTTATTGGCTTTAACATTAGTTACAGTGACAGCCTAGTGCAACCTTTAATTTTCAAAATTTTAAGAGTGTGGGGAATATCTCCCTTGCTGCCCTTTTTATTCCTCCCATATCTACCAGTGCAGATTAATTAACACAGTATTACAACAGTTCACTGAGCATAGATTGACAAAAAAAGATAAAAAACATAGATTTGTTATATTCATTGAAATTCCATTCCCATCAGTAAAGATAATAACGAGTTATTAGATAATAATTTCTTATGGATGAATTAACTGATATTCTAGGATAAGATTGGCATTAATTAGAGAAGCAGAGTTACTAGGGTCAGCTTAGTCCCAGAGAACCATTTCTAAAATATTGAGATGCAATTTTTTGGCCTTTTCCAGGGGTGCAAGGGTTCCTTTTCACCATCAGCGTCACTCACAGTCTTCTTTCTCTTGTTGTCCATGCCTCTCTCACTCGCTGTGGAGCTCTGCCAAGATGCCCAAGGGGTGCCAGTGTCTCGACCCTTTTTTGCCGGCCCCTGAAGTTTTATTACCCTGTCTCTTCCCCAGCTTGCCTTTGCTCACCCTCTTACCATGTTCTCCCACACATGCTAATCCAACACTGTTCAAAAATCCAGCCATAGTCCACCTCCACCTGGACCATGCATGGCTGTGACCTCTGAATTCCAACGCCCTTAACGTAGGCAGCCTCCCTCAGACTGGAACCCTGTTCTGTGTGCTGCACTACTAGTGCCTTGAGCATCTGTTTTTCTTTCTCAGTGAAGTTATCTTTTTAAGGAAACTGTTTTTAAACTTTATCTCACATTCACCTAGCACTGAGAATAGTGCTGTCTACTCTAAAGATACAGGTGCATAAGGTAAGAACATAAAATGTATGTTTATCTGAAATGATTTTTGAAAACTGACCTACTTTAAGAGTGAGAGTTATCAATTAAAATGAACATTGTAATAAGTCTAAAATTAATAATTACTTCCTGATTTTCTGTTTTGAATGTATAAAATCTATGAGCATCCGGTTTGAAGTAAATATATCCTATTTAACACTGTGATCTATTAATTGATTTATGTTTATTCATTAATTCATATTTTTGCTATTTTTTTCACTTTTAATTGTGGTGTTTTGAGTTTTAAGAGAGTGAAATCTCTTTAGTTCTGGCTTTTAATTTTGATGTTTGCCTTCCAAGGGAGAGAAATCTCTTTATTTAAAAGAATGTTTTATTGTCAGTCAGTAAGTAAAATGTAATCTCATCTTCACCTAGAATTTTTGCCTGTAAAATATGCTTAAATTTAAATGCTTTTCTTACAATCATTTTAAATCCATGTTTGATATTTTATTAGAAAAACTAATCCTTGCGGTTCTTATTCTTAGTTATTGAAGTTCATTTCCATCTACTACAAACACATGCACATGCACACATGCACATGTTTGCTGAAATATAGTCTTATCTACTAAAAACATAGGGCAATTCTACTTGGAAAAGTCTGTTTTCTGGCCTGCAGCTATCACTAAGATGGAACTCCAAAAATGAACTTAAGAGTCTACTTCCTGACTCTGGCTTTAGAGACAAATAACACAAAGGAAAGTTTGCCGCCAGCATTTAGTTTTCAATGTACCATAAGAATTACATGTTAGTTGGATGTAGTATTACCTGATTGCCTGTTTTAGTGACTTGCTTCTTCTACAGAACTCTGGCAAGCTCTTCAACAAAGCAGTTAAAATGGGTCCTTACTCTCTTAATACAGACTTGGAAGCATTAACTAATAATTTGGTTCTTTACGATATAGCTAAGGCGAGTTTTCTTTCAGCATGTACGAAAAGCAGAAGATAACACTTGGCATTTGCCACAAGACAGCCTAAATTACTGAGGGGGGAGGAAAACTCTTGGGAACCTTAATTTTAACCCTACTAAGGTCAAAAAACAAAACTAATCTGTTCCTGGAGAACAAAAAGAAGAGGCCAAAAAACTAGAACAGAAAAAAATAAACTGAATATGTACCCTCTCCACACTTCAGGCTTCTAAAAGTTTATCAGGTTGGGAGAAAAGAGAAATTTGAAGTCAAATGAAATTCAAAGTTTTATTTTACATGGGATAACTGCTTTATTAATCAAATCAGAGTGCTTTTGTAATTAATAGTGATCAGGAAATACTACATAAAATTGACAGAAGGAGCCATCAATCTTCCTGAGAAAACAGGCAGGGTCAAGGAAAAAAACCTCACAGGATGGATTTAAAAGGGGTTATTTCCTGCTTTCATCTGCAATGCAGTGGTGTCTTTCAATAGTGTATTTGTGTGTGTGTGCACACGTGTGTGCATACACATGTACTTGTGAGCATATGTGTTTGAACATTAGGGTTCCTGCTCTGTTACTGAAAGACATGTAAAAAAGCAAAAATTTGGTTTTAAAGTGCAAGCTAGACCGTAACATAATAAAAGATTAAACACGGCCAAATGATAATTACTGAGTGTTTGAATACTTTTATTCATCACATTCTCCCAAAACTGGACAAATAACAAAAAGAAAAATGAGAAAAGTGATGTAAAAATGTTCTGCTACTAATTTGAGAAAAGAAAATGGTTAAACACTGATTAATAAAGGTAAAACTAAGAAATATAAAAGCAAAAAAAAAAAATTGCTCATTTACCTGAACACAGCTAAAGATCTAGAAATATTCCTGGGACTGGGAGAGAGTTGCAAATGGAAGACTTGGAACCTATTTACACAGATTTTTCACAGATCTACCCAGGGCCCAATTTAACCATGAGCCTAATTTTAACAGATTCTTGCTGCAATATTGCCCTAGGTCC